TTTAAATTCGTCTGTGCCCATCTCCCTCTGCAAAGTGACTCCCGCCATTTTCTTCATCACTGCCTTTCATTCTTTGGATAGTGATTTTCTCAACCAAGAGTTGCTATTGATAGTGCAAGGGAGCTTAAATAATTATGTTTAAAATCCCCTTCACCCCATATATTTTCCAGACTAACACTATGGTAGGTAGGCACTTTAGAAAGATTAAAAGCAGCAGCATGAAGATTTGTTGTGAGTAGTTAATTCTGGTAGAAATTTGAGTGGATGGGGAGGTATTTAGCTTTTAAAGGGAAGGTAACAGCATTCCTGAGAAATGTTTGCTTTGATCATATAAAGCAGAACAAGGAAGAGGAAACAATTAAATGAAGGATCATACATGAAAACTGATGAAACAAGAATAAAAATGCTTACAATAATTGCTGGTGGATCATCATTTTTGACAAATTAAAAATGAGGGGATAAGGGTTGTAATTGTGAGGATGAGTATAAGGATTGATGGATAATAAACAAGTGAGTAATTGAGGAATAGGTAGATTTGAGAAGATAGTTTAAGTGCATTGAGAAGGATAAGTTAAAAGCTAATACCTGTAAATGCTCCAGTCTCTCCTTCAGGGATTTCAACATTCTCTCCATCTGATGTATTGCAGCAGATGCTTCATTGGGTGGATCTTCCATAGCATTAGACTGAGCAGGTGTATGTGCCTTGTGAGAAGAATGATGAGTGTTGTGACTGACCTGTGGTTCATGGTTCCCAGGTTGTGCAGTTGGATGATGCTCATTCTCTTGGGCATGGTGGCCTTCATGGGGATCTCGATGGCCAGCATCACGATGTCCCCTATGGCCATCTTCATGGTGAGACTGGTGGGCAACCTCATGATGTCCCCTTTGACCATTATCATGATGACCCCGATACCCACCTTCATGATGGCCGTGCTTATGGTTATGATTCTCTTCCTGATGATTTCCATGGTGCTCACTATGCCTCCGGGAATGGGTTTCGCAGTGGCTCAGCTTGGCTGTCAGTTCTCTCACAGTCTCTCTCTGGTCAAGGATCATTTCCTTTTGATGCACCACTGTCTCCCGCAGATGCAGGATGGTTTCCTTAGCTTCTTCTAGAGTCCCCACCCAATGGCTACTGCCTGCACCATTAGCTGCGCTTCCATGTCGTTGATGGCCATTTGACTGGCAACCATTATCCATATCCAATGGCATAGGACTGCAGATAAATTTGGGTAAGCCATGTTCAGAGGCTAACAGTAGTGGGGAAAAGATGAGGAAAAGCAATGTCCAGTACATTGCAATCACCAGAGGTAGGATGCTTGGTGGATGGGAAAAGAGTAGGAGTGGGGATGGAAATGGGCTGGGCAGTTCAGGATAGATTAGATAGCCACAGAAGCAGATGATAATTTCCAGAAAGGCCAAGTCTTTACAGCTTGAAGAATCCTATTGTACAACAGATTTCAACCCTGCATCCATCATCCAGATCTTCTCTTAGATGACCAATAAAATTCCACAAGAAAGAAATTCAGCTTCTATCAAGAAGGAGATGCAAAGATCTTTGACAGAGGAGAAGATACTCTAGATGAAACTCTTCAAGTCATGTCTGGTTCACCAGGTCACCAAGTCTTCAATACCCACAATGACTGGTTCCATTGTCTCAGAAACTGAAGTCTTTCCTCCTTCCCAAATATCAATTTCTTGCTTCTCAGCAGAGCCAAACTGCCAGCAGACATCCAGGCACTATAGTCTGGTGGGTTTTGTTCTTTTTCTGCCTTTCCTTCCTGTCTAATTTGCCAAATCCACTGGTGATGAGGAGCAAAGCATCGTTTCCCTTGGCGACTGAGAAATTAATGGGCTTAAAGTGTTACAGCAAAGCTTTTGCCTTCACCACTGCCTACCATCTCTTCTCTGTTGCTAAGGCTTCTAGCCTGGCAGCCTATATATAACCCCTCCTGAGAAGCTAAAGCTTCAGTCAGAAGAATTAAGGTATCAGCCAAGAAAAAATAAACTAAATCCAAGCTATGAAATTATTCCTCATTTTTTCTTCTAATTACAATTATTTACTCAGAGTACATCACTCCCAGCTGAATTTAGAGTATGTGGAACTCCCAACAAAAATAGGAAAGACTATTGTGTCAAGTAGGTAAGAAACACACACCTGTATAAAATAAATGCACAGCTAGATGATTTACAAATAGACTCTACCTTTCCACTCAAGGGCCTAATCAGATAATTTTAACTATATGAAAAACAAAACATTCTGAACCAAAATATAAATTACTGTTACATTTATCACAATGTACTCCACTGTCCCAAGGCTTAGGAAGCTCAGGACACTTCCAACATGATTTGTTTCCTTTGAAAGCCAGAGTTTTAATACTGTTTTTGGTAAATGAGGAACAATCCATATTTCAGCAGCTTAAGAATAGGATATCTGGCCCACAGTCTGTATTTGTCAATAACCCTGATGACCATTGCAATGTAGGCTTAGAAAGTCTTCTACCAAGTTCTGATTTCTTCTAAAGAGACTGTTCATCATATTGATAGTTTGCTTTTCCCACTCTACAACTCCTAACTTCAGTAGATCACTGAATGCTAGAATTAATATAAGGCCGAAGGATTATTAATCCAATGAGGTTCACCCATTCTAAATATAGATGTAAATTAGACCCATATGCTGGCTTGTTTATAATGTTATTTGATTATAGGACAAAGTAGTCCAAAACCATTGGGATACCCGTCCATGAGTGATAGAAAATGTAATCCTTCAAACAGCCTCCCAATTTAAAATGAAGAGACTCTCAATCTAGATTAAGCCATTGGGCATTTATAATAAAGAACATGAAATATACAGATTGGAATAGGATAACACTTAATNGAAAAGCATCTTTGTACATTGGGACTGATGATTACTTGTTCTTCAGCAATACAAATAGTCCTTTTCTTCATTACGGATTTGAATATCTGTCTTGTAGGAAGGAAGTATAACAATATCCCCTCCCCTCCTTGCTCCAGAAGACAAAAAGAGAAAGATGGGCATTTTTTGTTGAAAGAAACTATATATTTCCTTTGATGGTGATGTTTTTTGATTTATTTGTTTTTAAAGGAAATGTTAACTATTATTTAAATTTTTAATGTATACATCTCTGGATGATATGTAAACACCATGAATCTATCTATGTTTTGACTGATTCATTATTTTATTGTAATATTTATTAAGGACCAAGAACCTAAGCTGACCAAAGGGGAGAAACTGGAGTTGTGAACTCACAAACATTTGCCTTCTCTTAGACATCCCTTTTATTTAGGAAAGGGGAAAAGGAAAATCCACCTAAGAAACAGCATCTGAAAAATGCCAGAAATGGATAAGAAGTACTTAAATATATAACCTTTCAGGCCATTCTCTGCTGTAAGGGAGAGAAAGCAGTGGGGGGTTTTTTCCTCTTCCAAAGGCTTCCCAGAAGCCAGGTTAGATCTTAGCATTGGACTCAGGGTCACCAAGGAATCCTTCTTGAGGCTATTAATATACTGCTGATCTTGCACATCCGTCTCACTGCCAAGGAACCCAATGTAATACAGTAAATACCATTGCTAATAAGATTGTGAACACATGAATGATCTACCTGAGGAACAAACCTTAGCCCTTTTTCTCCCACAATAAATGCTTAGTTTTCTCCTCTGACATCAAACATTTCCTGGCATTTTGCAAATGCTACTCTGAGTGCTACTTTTTAAATTTTATTTATATCTCATGTTTATTATTTTTATAAATAACTCCAGGTGGTGAATATACTCCTTCCTCCTCCTATTTTCCTATTAATAACAGTTAATACTATTAATAGCCTATATCCTACTCTGCTCTATGCCTGGGAGACATGGTTACAGGAAATCTGACGTTTTATGTTTTATGTCAGCAAATATTCATGGAGTAATTCATCTGTTCAGTGGTCTCACCTGATAGGAGATAAAGAATGTTATTTAATATCAATAGCTCTGGTGACATTACAGCTGTGGTTTTATTGAACTTGCATATAGGGAAGAAACAGAGTCTCGTGTGCTATAAGAGACATCTCCGTAGCTGAGATATGCATGTTAGAACAAGTTCCTTTTAAAATGATACTTGAAGGATTTTTTTAAGGATCTAAAAACTTAAACCTGTCTCCTACTTGGGACACCTCTTAGTCAAATGTAAATTAAACATATTTAGTTGATTTATTTGTTAGAAGTCAATAGCATGAAATTACGTATAAAAGTTTACAGAATACAGACATTGATTAAATCAGACTTCATTTCTGAAATCTAAAAGAATGGTCTCCAGATTAAGATTAAAAATGCGTATGTAAAATGGTTAATTTTTTATTAGTGCTTTTGTTCAAAATTCATAATGGATCACCAATGAAAGGTGACCTTTTAGGTTTCTCACTATACAACCTACAATTTGGTGCTCTCCAGACAATTTGGGAATGGAACTACAACTCCCAGAATTCCAAGTAGACAATGCTCTGAGGACAACAATCTTAAATCCACATCATTAACTAGACCATGAGTTTACTCTTCTAAAAATAGGCTCTGTTTTGGGGGCATGTGGGATGTGCTACTATACTAGTANTTTAACATCTAAGATTAAATATAGACCAGAAACAGGAATCATGAAGTACAGAGCTATTTTTCTTTTAAAACCCCTGCTACCATGCCATTTAAAGTGGAATCTTTTAGTAAAATCCAACAGTTGTTCAGAATTTTGAACTTGTGACATGCTCTTATTGTACTATTATGAATACAAATTTACTTTTGAGGATATTTAATTTAGTAACTGGAACAGTAAAGTGTACAATGGGCAGTCCATAAGGTTGTAGTTGATTGGTTGGTTGAGTGATGGCTCGTGCATGAGGCAATCTTTGCTATGATTGATTGCTGTGGGTGTAAAGGGCAAGAACCCAACTGTCTCAACTGAGTATTGCTAAACTTGGAACGTTTGATGTCCAAAGAAATTAAGGATGGAAGACTTTGGAAAACAGAGCAAGCTACTGATAAATTCATTGTCAGAACCTCTCCATTAGGTAATTAGGAAAGAAGACCACGAGACTCCATGAATAGAAATCAAGTGTACTTTTACTAATTATAAATGATTAAAGGCATAGCGAAGCGAAGTCTGATTATTTAGGCGCAAAAGCGATTGATATATAGAATAGCCCATTCCCCACCCCTTGGCATCACAGTTACAGTCCAATCATAATTCTCCCAAGTGTCAGGTGTGAGATAACTTCAAAAGGCATCACGAAGATGGAATGTCGGTGCCGTTAGTCCTGGCGGGAATCTCCTACGCATGCGTAATCCGACAGGCAGCTGAGCTCCAGAATCTTCCTCCAGCACAATTAGTAACCCCTCCCAAATACCATGCCCTCCCTCCCCGTTTCATGGCAGTCGAAGCAGCAGCAAAGCAGAGGCTGACATCAATGCTTAATAATGGATGCATACTGGATAAATGCAACATATAGTGTGCAAAGTTTCAAGGGAATCTGGTTCAAAGCAGGCATAATGATAAAAGTGTTCGGCTTATGTGCTGGCTTTAAGTTTACTGTGGGCTTCATCATCAGTGATCATGAAACAACTTCATAGGCCCTGAATAAGAACATAAAATACTTCTGGTTAGTTAAAAAGAAAGTGTGAAGTTCCCAAGAGATGACCTAATTAATTTACGAGCCTCGAGACAAAGTTAAAAAAACATTCATTTATTAGTTTAGTTTTAGTTTAGTTTTTATTGATTTTGTATGCCGCCCACTCCCGAAGGACTCCGGGCGGCTTACAATAAAACAAGGGAGGGGGATAATACACAAAACAACATATTAAA